GAGTTAAATGCTGCCACACCAACGCAGACCCCTGGTGAAGTGCACACTGCCAGAAGCCTTTTACAATTCAGTGCCAAAAATTTTGTAATATATAAATTACTTGGTAGGTTTTTTCCTGTGAAGGAGTTGCTATTGGTTTAATGGCTGAATTTACGTCAACGGAAGAAAAAAAAGAATGAAAATATCTAGTCAGATAAAAGAATTTCATCTGTGGTACCATACCCTGTAATTGTTTTCCTTTCAAAGAAATGATTCTGAAATCTAAGAGTCACCTTTTGGCAAAACACTCTAGGATATTTTTAACAACTCTGCCTTAAAATAATTCCTTTTCCATGGGCAAAGAAAAAGATCTGTTTTGAGCCTCTGAACACATCACTGGAAGAACTCAATTTCCTCTTTGTGTGCTGAGGACACCTGCCTCCAGTCGTGACAAGAAAAGTGTGGTTACAAAGAGGTGGGCAGCTATTAAATTAGGCAGCAATTAGTTCCCTGGGACAGGAACTGAGAAAGCCAGGAATACATCAACTATTGGCAGATTTACATATCAGCCCTTCTTGCCTCCCTAAATATCTGCTGCCACAGGCTGCTGGGGCTGTGTCCCTGCCAGCTTCGTTGTCCTCTGTAAATCACACTGTCCCCTGCATAGATGCCACTTGATCAAACAGCTCCATCACACCATAAAATGTACTGTATTCACTTTGGGGGACACTACGTGAATACTGATTGGCAAAATTTGGCCCATATTGCCATATATAATTGCAATTTACTTCAGAAACAGACCCGCTGATTTGACTTTCCCAGCACAGCAATTTTTCTGGTTCTCCCTTCAATACTTTCACACACTTATGCCCAACTTAGCTGCTGATCTCCAATATTCGAGGTAATTATCAGGTAATAAACTCTTAAATGAACTAGTAACTGGGAGTGAGTGTCAGCTGACTAGTTTTTTCCTCTGAAACAGTCTTTACTTCCTCATCATGTGTTTTCCACAATTACTCTTGCAATGTAGTCACTTTGTAAAGCCCGATTTTAATTTTTTTCTAGTCATCTGTTTAATCATCTCTCAGAGACAACTGGGGACTGGCATCTGCGATGACTCTTGCTGCGTCACTTTTCTTTGCTGCTGCCAGCTCAGTATGTCTCACTATGCACTTTATTGCTGGCTATTAATTTTTAAGCTAGCTTTATGTTCCTTATTAACAGCTCATTTCTCAAAAGAGAAAAATGATGTTATTGCAAGCCCAAGTTTTATAGAAACAACATGAACATCTGAAAAGAGGGCAGAGGCTTGTTTCTGAGGGATTATATTTCCATCTCAAATTCCTTTCCCTCTTCTCTATAGACTGTTTGGATAACACATAATTTCAGTTTATTAAAAAAAAATAAACCTAACAACCAGGGTACTATCATGTATTATTGCTGAGGATGATGGAGGCTATCAGTCTGCATAATTTTCATACTGTCAAACTTCCTTTCTGCCTCCAAAAGGCAAGCCCATGTAGGCCACTTTTAATGAGGAGCCCTGTGTGTGGCTTTCCCCACACACTGCACAGCAATTGGGCACTTACAAGCTCACGTTCTCCCTGCATCATCACCATATTTTGTCTTCTTTCAATAGGGTTGACTTTTGTCCACAACACTGGGCACTTTCATATGGTGAAGTCTCTCGGCTGCCTCATTAACTCTGAATCAGTGTGTGCCCTTGCATTTTACTGTATCATTTCCTCCAGCATTCATTATGCTGCAGCTAGCCTCTAGCTAGAAACTTCTTAAAACATGATGAAATTACTTGCTTAACAACATACAAGTCAATTACAAGGCAATTAAAAGATATACTAATCTATTCCCTTGTTTGGTCATGGCATCTTGGTTAAGATCATGCAGAGCATTCTCATATGGTATCTGTGAAATCTTCTGCTATAAATTGTAAGCTCCTGTCCACAGCACCTGTTTTTCTGTGAAAGACACAGGAATTAAAGAGCTGCTGTCTTTAGCTTTGCAAACATGAGGAATTGAAGTGGTACAAGCTGTTCTGAATTTAAGCTTTCCTCTATACAGTGCTTCATTCCCCAGGTACTTTAATGGGTTTGTTATTGGGATGGGAGAATTCAAAAGAAACCTGCCACCTGCAGGCATATGCTCTCTCCTGGCTGGCCTGCATATTGGACTCCTGAATACTCCTCTGCAAGGGAAGAGTTAAGCTCTCTAGACTTCACTCTGCTTCCTATCTTTACCCTACTCTCTTTCTATTCCATTTTTCTCACCATCTCCATGTGCAGCATCCAGACTCTCCTATCCTCCCCAAGGGGTAAGGCAAAGGCAATGTTGCACTGAACTGGGCAGCAGAGCCAGGCAGCTCCTCTGCCAGCCAGGCTCACAAGCTGAGTTACCAATAAATATTGGTGCCTTTAAACACGTGGGCTCAGCAGTTCCCTTAATCCCATTGCCAAATCCTCCTGCTCCCCTCTGCCCTGCACCCCGGGTGTGTGGGGACAAGGAGGAGATAGGGACAGGCTGCACCTGCTGGGAGAAGGAGGATGGGACTGAAGGACAGGGCACTGCAGAGGGTCTGGACCTTTGAGGACAGCAGCAGCTGCCTGAGGAAGCCACTCCTGCAGGATGACAGCCCATCAGGCCAGTGCTGCATCAGGAGGGAAGAACTCCTCGGGGTGACACTGCACAGCCTGCCCCGTGCTCTGCCACAGCAGCTCCTCCACACACTGGCAATTCCACACTGCCCAGGGTGACATGCTCCATGCTACAAGTAAAATCAAGCTTATGCAACCAGGTGATGACCAATATGTAAGTGAAGTACCCTGTAGTCTTGATCACTTCAAAATATTTTTATCATTAGTATGTAATGTCAACATAAGGTAAAAAATAGAACCCCAAATTAATCCAACATCTTCATACAAGTTGGATTTAACTGAAATTTCTCTGCAAACCAATGTGAATTATAGATGCTTGTCTAAAATAAACCATTAGAATAGCCCCTTTGTAGGGCAGACAAGGATGGAGAGTTGTAAGAGATGCACATCGCTGCCTTCCTTCTAGACCTAAATTCCCTCATTTACTTGAGTTTCAACTTTTTTGTCCTTAAAGCAGACATAACTTATGCCCACAGTGATGCTGTCACATTAATCCATCTGGCATTTCCCAACACACAGAAGACTATTCTAATGAGAAGTACAGAAAGCAGGACACCATCATCTGAAACCATCTATATTCTTCTTTACAGTTCTACCCAGTTTCATTTCTGCCTGGAGAAGTAGGTCAAAACACTAAACAATAGCTGTTTGAAGGGGAAAATGCAACTTTTAACTTCTTTTGGCATAAACACCAGGGTTTTTTCCCCAATTAGTACTCACGGGACTCTCCAGAGGTGAGCAATGAAGGTAGCATCTATTCTTGACCTGTCCCTTAATCAGCAAAGATTCAATACAAGAAGAATAATTTATGTGGCCAGCAATTGATTCTTGCTTGGGAAGCCCCAGGGGAGAATTCTAATCATGGCAAGCTCACCTTCCTCTGGGACACATTAAAACAGGGGATGGGGGGGCATGGTCCTTCTGAGGGTCTTCTGAGCAGGTGACAAAGCAAAGCTTCGGTGCCCAGCCTGTTCTCTGCACACACTTTGCAGTTCTGGGCAGGACCTCTGGCTGTGGCCATACGCTGCCCCTGCAGCTCCCCCACCACATACACTAATTACTTTGTTTTCATTAATTAGTCTTAATGCATGCATGCACACCCACAAATCAAGCGAGCCACTGCTGTGAGTGCAGCAGTTTTGGCTTGGAAATTGCACTTGCCTGGGCTTGTAAAGCCACCAGCCCACCAGCAGCAGCCTCAGCACAAGCAAATCTGGGGGTGGCCCAGCTTCCCCCAGCAGGTCCCAGGGGCTGTGTGTGCCAGCTGCAAACTGCAGCATTCCTGGGAATGAACTCACTGGCACAAACAGCTTCGTGATGGGGAGATATTAATGCTGTACTGGTGTCAATGAAACATTACCATCAATTAAAGCAGGCAGTAGGGCAGATTTATAAGCCAATATGTAACCAAATATAGCACAGGAGATGTTTGGAAAAACAAGTAAGTGAAATAGGCATGACAAATAGAAAAGCTTTATTAAGGGATGATTTCTGTGATCTCTATCTCCTAGAACAGTGATGTTTTAACATCCTTATCCAAACAGGAACACAGATAAAAAGGCTGTAAACTCATCTTGTTACCCTGTGGTTTGTGTTCTGACAGAAATGACCAATGATTTTCGTACATGAGCAAAATGTTTTCATTTACACCTCTGATTGGTATACTAGAGTTCTACTAGGGCAAAGTTGTCACCTTTCAAATGACTTTGGAGGGACTAATCAGAGGGATAAATGTAGTTTGTAATAAAAACAGTTGTCTGAGCAACCTATTCAGACCAACTGATTTGGATTCTTACAGCAAATACATGAGCACGCTCTCTGGTAATGCAAAATAAATTAAAAAAAAAGGTTGGGGGAAGAGTCTTCTTGCCTAACTTGTCACCTAAGGCTGATGAACTCCAGTGGAAAAGTTTATGAAAATTAAGTACTAAACTGTAAATAGTTCAGCCACGCAAAAGCAAAAATGCAGCTGAAATTTACATTAAAACCTATAGTCTGCATGTATTTGTCTCCTTGTTCCTTTTAAAAAGAACATTTTTATCACCAAAAGGCCTCAGTCTAATCTACCCTGATATAAATGGCTGTTTCAGATACCCTGCTACTGACAATTTGGACAGAAAGTTCTCGGCTCGCTTATCATGAAATCAAACTCATCAGAGATAAAACCAACTAAGCTGGGCAAAATCACTTTTAGGGTGCCCTATGTTTTTCCAATGATCACTACAAGTCTCCTTGATGGATGATATAAAAAATGGAGCATTGCTAACATCTGAATGCAGCCCCGTGTGAGCTCAGCCAGGGCTGACAGTGGCACAGCTCTCCCCCAGACACGCGCCGGGCACCCGCTCCTACCTTGGCTCCATCCACACTGATAATCCGATAGCTGTTTCTGGTGCTGTCATAGAAGTAGGAAACAGTTACAGCCTGCTTGCTTGCAGGAACCCAGTTCTTCTTCGTGCTGGGGTCAATTTGGAAGACATGGGCTCTGGTGGTGAAGATGGGCTGTTCTCTGGAATAGGGAGGGACAGGAGAAATGGATGCATGAGTCTGCGGAAGGTGAAATGTCCCAGCAGCCCAGCCTTGAGCAGGCACGCTGAAAGCACAAGGCAGAGAGCACCTGGCAATCCCCCAAAGGAACAGACAGAGCAGTGACACTGCCCAGCCTTGAGCACCTTTCCTTGGCATCACTAAGTGACATTCAGCACCCCAAAGTTACTGCCATAGCCCAAGAAACGACTGGCTTTTCTTCTCCCCATGCTAAACTACCTCAATAGCAATCTATTCCTCAAAATATTTATTTCCAGGAAAGGACATTCACATGCATTCTTTCTTTCCCTATCCACATATTTTGCCAAAAGCAGCAAACCCCCACAGCTGGATTTCCTCCTGCTGACATTCCTGTGAACTGCTACCTACAGCCAGGGCTCCTCTGTGGGTGCACCAAGGACTCCAGTGACACACAGGCATGGCATAATTACTGAAATATTCATCTCTCTCCTCAGAATCCCACTGTTCTGTGGATGTGCATGAAAATTTCATTAGATGCAAACCAGTCAATCAACCTGGGAAGTGAAGGGGGAAAAGAAACAGAACCAAACTCCAGCATTGATACAGATATTGCATTTTCAGCCCGCAGTGGGTGATTAGCACCCCTGATGTCCTGTTCCTAAACACCAACCTTCCACTCCTCAAGAAGACTGTGCACACAATGGAGAGGTTTTGTTTTACCTTCAATGTGTGACCCAGCAAATCACACAGAAAAGCAGAGAAGACTCAGGACCAAAAGAACCAAATGTGATACATACAAAATTATCAGGGTTAAAGATCAGAACTAAGCCATTCTTAAATGTCATAAAACTAAAATCACCACCAACCACACCTTTAATTCAAGTTTAGCAGTAGAAGTGAACTGCAAAGCAAGATCTACTGAGTTGTTAAATTCATTTTCATACTTTTGGTTTTTAATAGCTACACTATATAATATTTTATATTAAGTGTACCACTCAATATATTCTTGTCCCATACAAAATACTGCATCACGAACAGGTAATTGACAGAATTCCAACAGGATCAAAACCAATGGTACTACAACAGAGCTACCACCCAGAAATTTAAATTAATCAAAGGGAGTAAATTTGCAAATATCAAACAGATGAAGTGATTTAAGAGTACAATTAGCTCAGGAAAGATGGAGTGAACTTGCAAAGCCCAGCAAGGCCTCAGGAGGGAGAAAATGAGACTGGTTTTCTCTTTGCAAGACTTACACAAAGTACTACATTTTTCCAGGGGCTTGCAGGTTTCTGGACAGACAGCTGTGCTGAACCATACAAAATACTTACTCGAAATAAATTGAAATGACAATGGGACTGTCATATTACAGCTGTCAAAGAGTAGCATTTGCTTCAGTTCTCCCTTATCAGTAACTTGCTGAACCCAGCTCTCATTTCACGGGCCAATATCAATGCCATCCTCAGCTGGATGGAAAGAAGGGGCAGGTTTCCATAACATTTTAAATATTTTCCTTATCCATTACACAGGATTAGCATTGTAACACCCACAGAGGTCATGGAGTTTCTCCGCAATAACAAATTCAGGGAGGGGAAATTTTTCCCAAGCTGTTTACTCTCTTAAGAAATATACATTCCTTGAGTGAAAAATAATTTTGGAATTTTTTTTGCCTTTTACAGTTCTGTATTTTCAATTGACTCTACTAAAACCAAGGTAGTGCGACCTAATATTGTAGTCTAAATGTTAGGAATTTTCCTCCATACAAACCTATTCCACAAACAACTTTAATTCTGTTACATTTTCTTAACTACACCAGAAAACACTGTTAAAACTATGCCTGGCTGCTCTGCAGCAGGGACAGTAAGCGTTTAAAGTAAATCTGGAAATAATAAAAGTAGAATGAAGGCAAAGACCCCACAACTATCTATCTATTTATTCAGGAATCTTGACTGAAGCTGCCACTGTTGAAACAGGAGCTGTATACATACATCCAAGTGGACAAATCAATGGATAGTGAAGCTCAAGGGTGCAAACATCCATCTATCCATTCTTTCTTTCATTAGGAAGTAAAGACAAAACCTCTGTTTCTAATCCTATGATTATCAACAACAAAAAAGCCCACCTGCATTTTTTCTTTCTGTATCACAGTGATAACGTGCTAGTTGATAAATTATTAAAAATAATCAAATGCAATGTGCAAACTTTAAGCATCTTAAATCATTTGAGGTAGCTATCTGTTGACATTTAGCTGGGACTCAGATCTGGAAGGGCCAGTTGGGTGCTCCACATGTCTCTGATCTTCCTCCACAGGTGGCTCTACAGGTCAGCAAAGCCCCCCGGCTGATTTCTGGCTCCTTGAAGAAGAGGAAGCACCCCAGAACACAACCTCCTGGATTTTCTGGAGTTGCCTTGTAATAATTAAGAAGAGAAGACACATTTCTGTGGCTGTGTGTGCCCTGCTGCAGTTCTGTGCCCCAAAGAGCCCACGATTCACCACCAGCACCGGGAGCTGGTGCCACCACGTTCCCAGCACTGCAGGATGGCAAAGCCACCTGCACTGACAACTCCAGAGGCACAGCTTCAGCACAAGGGCAACACACACTGCATCCCAAACTCCCCTGACCACTGAAGCACACACAGGCAACTAGGAAACTGTGGCACTCAATTTTCAAGTGAAATGCTAAATTAGGTACTTTTAAAATGCTTCACCATGGCCCTACAGAACCCTAAATAGAGAATGATTATTCTGTCTTACTCACTTTTAACTTTTCTATGTTCAAGAAAGCACTTTAATAGCAGAAGAATGACTTTGCTTCCCAGGGTTCTTTTCCTTTTCATTTTATCAGAGATTTATTAGCTTTTATGATAAAAAACCAGCAATGCCAACTTGAGACTCCAGCAGCACGTTCTGCATGGGTTAAGCCCTGTGAGCTGGTGAGGCTGCCAGTCTGCCCAGGGAGGCAGGAGCAGCAGCACTGCCAGCCAGGCTTGGACCCACACACAAAGGCAAAGAGAATTTATGAATATTTAAAATCTCATTAATTTTAACCAAAGTTTTTAATGATTGATTAAATACTCTTTAAAAAACCTCAACTGTTTAAAAATCCATTTGACACTAACATCCAGTGCTCAAAGTAAAACTGCTTGAAAACTCGAACAGGAAAAGTAGAAAATCACACCTAATAATTCTTTATCTGGTAACATAAGACAGAAAATGCTTTTTCATTATTAAATCTGGCAAGCATGTTTTATAAATATAATTGCAATTTTCAAGTCATGGTTTTACATGCTTTAGTTGACCTTTAGTTGCTGTCCTTGCTTCATAAGAGTGAAATCTCACTCTCCTTTAATGTCATTAACCTTTTCCAAAGAATTTAAAAAGCAAACCACAAGATTCTCAAGCTAACTAAGTGCTTCACAGCTGTGTTAGATACCATATCACTTTCTGGTTAATATACAACCATGCCAAATTTTACAAGTGTGTGACTAGCTGCAAGCCACGTGTTTTGCATAACTCTTCCTAATCAACGGCAAGGAGCTCTCACTTAGGAAAAGTTCAAATTATTTAATTCAAATTTCCTTGTTTATCACTTGAATCATGAGCACAACCAGTGATTTAAATCACTTCAGCTGTAAAGAGCCCTTGCTGCCTGGCAGGCAGCATCCTCCAGGCTGGGGGATGCTGGTGGCCGATGGACACAACAAGCTCCAGCTGGCAGCACCCGGAGCCAGGGATCCAGGATTCGTGTGTGGGCCACCTGCAGCCAGCTCCAGACCAGGCACTGAGGAGTGAACACTTCTGTACCACAGCAATCCTTTTGGCTAGTAAATAAAACAAATAAAACTCAGGTGGGTGCCTGCGGGGTCAGCACCCAAACACATTTAAACACACCGAGTGCCCAGTGCACATAAGGTGGATGCACTGACCATGAAGTGGGACAAAGTAATTTTTGTAGGATCTGGAACATCAAATATATTCATGACAGGAGTCTGGTACTCCACCAGAGGCAAAAGCACTAATTACACATTTTTAAAACTTTCACTAGCAGATCACTTAACATTTCTGGGATAAGGATCCTACTTTACAGCACAGGATTATTTGTGCTCTCCCCACACTAACTGTAGACAACTTTGCATTAACTGTTTAATGAAATTAAAATATTTTTTAAAAGCGCATGTCTTCATATATCTGCCACTTGGTGGAAGATGCACATGCCTGCAGAGATTTTGGAACATGGTGCTTCCTGCTACAGCCCAGCATCATGCACACGTTGAGTTTATAATACCTGACAGTGCCAGCAGATCTGCAGTGCTTTGCTGTAACAAGTATTAGATAATGAGGATCTCTCAAGAAAAAAGAGCAGATGCAAATGCAAAATCCTACTTTGGGACATATCCCCCATCACTGGTCGCGATACAAAAATCTGTATTTGCTAAACACAGCATAATAAAATTGGTGCCAATAGTTACTTGGATTGAACATTGCTACTACTGCCTCATGGTACACTGAAAAGAATTAACCCTCTATGTACATACATTGTAGTTTGGAGTCCCATTTGTATTTATTCAGATCATGGATGGAGATTTTCCTCCTACTTGAAATACTCATCTTGATGCAAGTCTAGGCCAGTTATGATGCCTAAAAATTACCTGTGAAAATAGTTTATCTATTAACTCTGCTCACTTGTGTATACATGCAGGTCTCAAACTTTGAAAAACAACCAACCCCTCTCCCCAAAACACCAAAACTGAAGTAAAGGCAGGCCTGTGATGGACCATAACTGCTGTGGGGAGAAGCTGCAGCTCATGGTGTCACTCACAGCAATTAGCACAGCAGCTCCAGTTTATACACAATATTAATCTTTGCTCCAAGCAAAAATTAGAGTTCATTATCCTCCAACCTGTTACCTCTATGCTTTCAACACTTGTGCCATCTTGGATCAAATCTTTTCAGGAAAAAAGAGAACCACACAAATGGGTTTCTTAGTGATGACTGAGAAT